TGACATCAAAGGAGGAGGATGGGATCTCATTAATTCTTTTTAGGCTCTATTATCAAACAGGATTTCAGGATCTATCCTTTATAACTATTTATCTGTCAAAAATAACTAATGAATGCTTAAGCTGTGCTGTACAAAGAGCACTCTCATGAAGAAGACCTGACCACAGTTGATACAAAACTGTACCACGTATGAAAATATGGAAGTTAAAGACACACGTAATGAAAATTCAAAATGCCCGAACTGCAAAGGACATCACCACACTTTGGCAGCACGATGCCCAGTAAGGAAGGATATCATCAAAGACATGAAGGAAAAGGAAAAATCGAACAAACATATAGAAACTGACCCAACCAAAACCTATGCTGCAATAACAAAGTTGCAAGACACTACAGATGGCACGCACGCGCCATCTATCGGACAATCCCAGAACCAGAAATTTGACACGGACAGTCCCTCGCTTAATTCAGATTTCGTCCGATATCGGGATTAAAGGGGTCCGTTTTAACGAGGGTCTACCCTTCACCATACTAGCCACACCGATACATGCCCACATAATCAACGTGGCTAACACGGGAACATTCGGAAAAACTATCAGAGAAATGTTTGCAGCGAACAACCTACCACAGGTAAACTTCCCACACAATGCCCCATCAGCAGACATTTTCAAAATAATAACCAAAAACAGTCTAGGAATCACCAGCAAAGAAAGGGAAGATAAAATAACACAACAAGAAAATTGCACAGGAGCAGAGACTGCAATGGATACAACCCACTCCCAAATAACCACAAGACCCTAGAGAACACAACCAACCAATCAGCTAAGTCAACACCAGCAAGACCACGTAGAGAGAACCCCACCGGTCAACGGCCGGCCGACGTCGGAGACAGCATAGGAATCAGGTTTTACTCGGTCAACTCCCTGTAACAAATGAGAGATTGTTAAAAGATATTAAAGAAGGAACAACCAAATACACATATGAAGAGGGACTCATAGAAACACTAATACGTGGAGGAAAAATAAGCAGCAAATACAACAAAATCGAGAACGTAGACTTATCAAAATTCAAGAAAATAAGAACAGGACTGAAGGAGAAGAGAGAGAGACTCTCCCCCGGAGAGACCCGAGCAACCGAACAACACGCGTCAAGTTCATGCGACCCACGATTACGCAAAACAGAACACAGAAAATAATACAACACAACGTCCTGGCCTGGACACATACAAGAAAAACAGAACTGACAAACATATACAACAGCATAGACCCAGACATAATTCTCATAAACTCACACCGACGGAAAAACAGTGACAAAATAAAACTCTTCAACTATTACACACATCAACTGAACATACACTCATAGACAATTTCCAAACCTACTTCTTAGCAGTCGAAATCAACACAACTAAAGGCCCAATAACAATCGGAACAACATATTTACCTTGCCGACGACAAACATTCCCGACCGGCGACTTACTAAAACTAATGAGACGTAACACACCAGCATACAGTATTTTATAGGAAACTTAAATGCGACACACACCATACTCGGACACAGAACCAGAAACCCAAGGGGGAAGATTATACACGACCTATTAGAAAACGGCAACATCACACACCTGGGCCCAGATTTCGAAACCTACATAGCTGCAGGAAGCACCGGGAAGCCGGATATGGTTTTGACCAATAGACACCACCATTTGAATTCACACATGAAACCTGGACCAACCACCACTAGCGATCACCTGCCCATAATTATCACTCTATCAACATCACCAATACAAATCCCCTCCATCCCTAGATTCTCTTTCAACAGAGCAAACTGGGAGGGTTTTAAGGCAGAACTCAACACAAACGAACAAATACATCAACATAAAAACACAGCAGACATTGATATAGCCCTGGAAACATGGTACTCTAAAGTCACCACAGCCATGGAAAATAACACCCCCAAAACAACTTACCGCACACTACCCCACGCACAATTAACACACGAACAGAAGATAATCCAGACAAGACTGAATAATATACTAGAACATACAAATACACACGGCTGGAACCAAGAAACAATAACTCTCTTCAGAAACCTAAAGGAAGAGCTGAAAGAAATATGTAAACAATCACACAACGACAAATGGAACCAGATAATCACAAACACAGAGGCCGATTATCACAACCCAAAATTTTTCTGGAGTAAAACAAAAAACTAATGGGCACTAACTCCATAGATAACAGCCATCTTACGACAACGGGGTAAAAGCTAGAGAATCTGTAGAAAAAGAACTGATCTTCAGAAATTTCTGGAGCAACATATATAAAATGACAGAAGAAGAAACAGAAACTATTGTAGAGTAACAGAACAGATGGTAACAACACACCTTACACTAAACACACAGAAATGGCAACCACCAAGAACAATAGACCTCAACATACTAATCAGTGCAGACACATTAACCTTGCCAATCACCACAAAGACATAAGAAACATAATAACCAGTTTTAAAAATAAAGCACCTGGACTAAGTCAGACAAACAAAACAGTCCTTCAAAACATACCCACAGATCTTTAACGCTTCACTAGCAACAGGACACTTCCCCAGACCTATATCCTTATTAGAAACACCAGGGAAAATACTAGAAAAAATAGTCAACAGCAGACTCAGAAACTATCTAGAACAGGAAAACAAATATAACCCCAGACAACACGGATTCCGAAAGAACCGAGGCACAAACACGGCTATTGCATTAATTTGAGAATCAATAGCTAACGCCGTCAGCAATAAAAACCAGTGCAATATTGTTCTCAGAGACGTATCAAAAGCTTTTGATAAAATGTGGCTCTAATTCCACAGTGAATTTGATCGAGGGGGCAAAGTTGTTAAGTTGTGGCAGGAATGCTTTTAGGTCCTCATTACATGGCCAGAGACATAATACATCATCAACATATCTAAACCAGACTGCTGAAGGTGGTAAAATATTACTTAATAGTTTCTTTTCAACTGCCACAACTTAACAACTTAGCCCCCTTGCTCAAATTCACTGTGGAATTAGAGCATGACTGTAAATTGCCTTTACTAGACTGTCTGATCCGCAGAATAGGTAACACCTTTAAGTTCAGTATTTATAGGAAACCTACTCATGTGTGTTCATACATTCATTATTATTCTGCCCACCATAATAGTCAAACAGTCAGTATTTTCATCATTGTTTTTATGTGCTTTGAGAATTTGCAGCCCGGAATTTATTGATGAGGAATATAAATATATCTATAATATTGGCTTGAACCTTCAGTACCCTAGATCTTTCATAGACAAATGCCTTAACATTACTAAGAAATCTTTCTATAGAACCAATCCCAAGCCCACCCATGACCATAAGAATCTCTTAGTATTACCATTTCACAAAAGGTTAGGTAAAGTCTTTTGTTTTCGTGTAGTTTATCCTAATTTACATTGAAATGCATTACGTTTCATCAAAACTACTATTTATTTCTGAGAATATGGAAATGTAATATTTTGCTGAAATGACGTAGGTATTACAGTGGAAAGTGACGAAAGCAATGACTTTCACTTTCTTTCGTTCAAAAGATGTTACCGTAATCGCTTTTTGAATGGTTTTCAGTTAAAAAACTGTTGTAATACAATAATATTCAATCCTAATTCACTTGTGATGCAACAGTTTTTTACTGAAAACCATTCGAAAAGCGATTACGGTAACATCTTTTGAACGAAAGAAAGCGAAAGTCATTGTTTTCGTCACGATTTTATCCCACTTTCCACTGTAATACGGACGTCATTTCAGCAAAAATATTACATTTCCGTGAATGTAGTATATCAAGCACAGTATGAATAGAATATCATTGTAATATAACAGTATTTAAACCAAAAACTATTAAAAAAACGAGTAACATATCTTGAACATCGGAAGGTTAGGTAAAGTCTTTTGTTTTCATCATGTATTTTATCCTATTTTACATTGAAATACACCACGTTTCAGCAAAACTACTATTTTTTTCTGAGAATATATTCATTCAGGTGCAGTTTAGGTAAAATATACATGTGCTGTAACATTTTTTTAATTGAAAACGATTTGAAAAACACGTACCCTCTAGCCCTGTTCAAGGAGAAGACTGGGAAGAGCTGTTTGGTGCTTAAGACGATGACAAGGAAAATGATTTTGATGGATTTTAATGAAAATATTCAGAAATATGGTATTGTAGTATTTATTCAAGTGAATTAGGATAGAATATTATTGTAATACAACAGTAGTGACGATGTGGAGGAGGCGGAGGCATAGAGCGGGGACGAGCGGTGACTGGCGGCAGCAGGGACGAGTGGAGATGCCAGCCAGTACATTACGGGTGTACAGTATTAATTGATTTTATAGCTCTTTTTGCATTTTAATATTAAATACTGTACATTACGTTTCAACAAAACTACTGTACTTGTTTCAAATTTAATTAACAAAGATTGATGTTTCAAATGTAATGAACAAAAATTGATGTACAGTATCTATAAATAAACTTTAAAAAATGAATACTTTGTTTTACATCGTCCTGTGTATACCATACCATGCATTTGGCTACTTTGGGCTTCCTATGATGATGCAAGAGATCTGCCCTGGCAACTGTACCGACACTCACAGCTGGTGGTGCGTCGTTTCCATAGTTTACTGGTAGTTATGGTAAATATTTTTCAACCTAAAGAAACTATTAGCCGTTTAGAGGTCGACCTCCAATTTTTTGCCAAATAATTTGGTCTTAAAAACTCGAACTACACACAGGTATATATGGTAAATAAGGACATGGGGGGCCAGGGGTTTTTCAGGGGGGGGGGGGCAAAAGTACACGGATTTTTAACATTCACGGGTATCTCTCAAACCTAACACCCGCGTATGTTAAGGGCCGACTGTATGTATGTATGTATGTATGTATGTATATATATATATATATATATATATATATATATATATATATATATATATATATATATATATATATATATATATATATATACATGTGTAACAAAGCACAAAGCAGGGAACTTCCAATTCAGGGATGGGACACACTTGTAGTCTTCTCTCAATTATTTACTCTAGAAATCACCCGAGAAGGAAGAGGCTGGGACCTAGATCAGACATAACTAGTTATTATACATACAAAACAAGCATCAACTGTTGTCATATGGGTACCACACAGTAGTAGGAATTAAACAATACATAATAAACCCAACACAGGGGGTGGTGTAGACTCACTCCAGGGTGAATGTCTGGAGAGCAACGCTAGAATTAGCCTTATTCTGGCTTACAAACTACCTCCACGAGATCATCACATTCTTCATATAACATTTATTATGCTCAATCTATCAAACACACTCTAACAGAGCAAAGAAATACGTGGGACATACCTGCTACTGGGCCCCGGGATGTAAACAATGCCATGGCGTCTCTCCCCCCCCGGCTGGGATGTATATTCGTTCTAGCGCGGATTCACAAGACAAAATTACGTTTTCCTCCTCGAAGCTTACAAAAATACATATCCATATCAATAATATTCTATATCACAAAATGGTTGTCTCTGGAGTTCCTCATACCACACACACTCCTCCATACAAATGTTTGCCGATGGCGCCAAGTTATTTCGGGAAATTAAGAACCGAGCATTTGCATTCATCTACAATGCTTTTTTCCTTTTTAACCTCCTCACTACCCTGTATTTGGAAACCACTTTTAATATTTTATTCGGCTAATGCCAGACAATTTTATTCAGCAGAGTGTGGACCCAGTGCACAAGTGGTTAAGGTGACACAATCAGTACAAACCTTCACACCAAGAATAGCTTCCCATTATTACCAGGAACTATATAACACAACATAGAAAATATCAGCTGCTCGTGAGGGTTGTTATAAGTTCCACTCCACTTGCTAAGTAAAAAGTGTGGTTGATAGATCTGTTAAGTACAACCATAGAGTGAAAAAATGTATATGTTACAATACAAAACTAACTGAACCAAAAAAGATAAAGTTAAAGTCTTAAATTATTTATGCCTTAACCACATGAAAAGGTTAAATAAATACACAGTAAACTTACTGCTCCACATGTAACAATGCGATTGGTGCTGGGAGCCCAGTCAATGCCTGTGACACGCAGATCATGACCCTGGAGTGTTTCCTGAAGCTTCCACTCTGATGCAGCTCTGCCATATATATTCACTTCATTGTTGTTGAGACTCAATGCCACTTCTGTAAGAAATACACACACATGCACTGAGGTTGCAAAACTAGAGAAACAAAACAAAACTACAGAGAAGCTAAGTAGCTAAATAAAATCTAAACCTAACAATGAAAAAAAAAAAAAATAAAATTAACTCCACCTACTTTCTGGTACAAACTGGGAGAGATCAGAAGCTTTGAACATGTTATGACCAGAAGAGGAAACCAGTCCTGCTCAGGTATAAAAAAGAGGACTGAACCCCCCCCCCAGTGATTATGCTGTATTATGACAGCTGTCTGGCTGAAAACTTAGGTAAAATTGCAGATTACAGCAACCAAAGAATAACCTAATCTAATCTTCCAGAATTCTGTGGTTGCATTTATTTTTTATTTTTATTTTTTATTTTTTTACGGGGAATAGGCCACCCAGCAACAGGTCATTGAACCACAATGGGGCCTAGGGGGCAAAAAAAATAAGAGTAAAAAGAAATTGAATTGCCCACAGAGAAACTGTGGGCACCACGGGCAATACGAGCGTTACAAGTCCACGGCCTTGCCGGCAGTACACGGGATGCCAAATCCACCAAACATTGGCCATTAAAGTACCTGTAAAAAAGAGAGTGAAGCAACATTGAAGCAAAGAGAAAGGGATGAAAGATTATCAATTAAAGGAGGAGAGTCAATAAGATGAAATGCCTTTGATTCCACCTTATCTAACAGTTGGACAGAAGAAGAGCCACCCTCGATATGAGCACAGTACTCCAAGTTAGGACAAATGAATCTCTTATAAACTGAAGCAACTGCTCAGGAGTAAAGTAGCTACGGCATCTGTACAGCATTCCCAGCTTTCGGAAGGCAGTTTTAGCAATGTTGTGGATGTGTGGCTTCCATGACATATTATAGGTAATGGTGAGACCTAACATATCTATTTTAGAACTTAGCAGAATGATTGCATCCTGAAATGTGATTGGTGGGAGATCATCAAATATTACAAAAACTTCTTCTAGAAAAGTGATACCGATACAACTCAGTTTGAAAATTAGATGGCAATTTACCTGCCAGGCAAGTGCTATTTAACTTCATATAGGTCGGTACTCACGGCTGCGGTCCTCATTCCGGGCACGACAAGCGATGGGCACGAGGCCGAACCGGAACACTTCTGTCATGGCGTATCACTTGGAGCAGGTGTCTGTAACACTGTGTAAAATAAATGGTAAATTTTCACAAATGCACCGGTCTTTGTTCAGATATTAAAAATATGTTTTTTCAATGTTACTCGATGAGTTTCGAACAAATTTAATATTAATTTCAGCCGGAAATCAATAGTTCTTTGGGTAAATCACATAAATAAAAAACCAACAAACTAACAAAACCAAACCTAACCTTAACTAACCTAACACTATTTTTCCGACGAAAATCTGCAATTGACGTAAAACTCTCGCCCAATTATAAGTCTCCTATAGCCAATAAGAAACTCCCACACCACCCCCCACACATGCGCTGTAGATGCTTAAGAATCCAACACGGAGGTAAGGAGCACTGCGCGACGGGCGGTCAGACCTCCGTGAGACGTAAACAACAAATGACAACACTCGTGAATGACCAAATCTAATAATATTGAAAAATTAATATCTCGGTTATCCTTAATTTCCGGCGGAAATGTCACAAAAGAAAAATGTCTTAGATTGTCTAAACATTACGAAAAACATATTAATAACAGTGAGAGAAATACCAGTGCAAGATCGAAAATTCACTAAATAAATTATAAAACTTACACAAGTCATAAATAAAACTATATAAATATATCAGGTTTTAATAGGTTCTAGTAAATGTCACCTAGATTTTAAAATATATCATAATGGTAAGAACATATTGAAAAAATGAAAGAAATTGAACAACACCTGCTGGTTTTAGTCATCTCTTCAAAGAATACCTTTATACCCGTTAAATATAAGATTAACTTTAATTTCTTACCGTAAATAAAGTGGCAACCATCTGTATCCATTAACTAAAACAGTAACTACATGGATATTACAGTACAAATATAAATCTTTCACCAATTACATGACCAATGTATATAATTATTATCATAGATATACGAATTATTGGTTAAAGGCGATGAATCATTTACAGTAGGCGGGGCTGTCCCCTCACGTCTTCCGCCATAACTACGACCTACAATAACTTCTTTCATGCATTAGGAAGTTAATTTGTTATATATTATCAAAATACATGGAACAAAAAAAAGAGTTCCTTCTACTTACCTAAATATTGAAGGATATTAGCGGACTCTGGTCAACATCCTCAAGTCCTGACCAAAACAGCTTGAGTCTCAACCTGTTGGCCTGACTTAAAGCACAAAGCAGGGAACTCCCAATTCAGGGATGGGACACACTTGTAGTCTTCTCTCAATTATTTACTCTAGAAATCACCCGAGAAGGAAGAGGCTGGGACCTAGATCAGACATAACTAGTTATTATACATACAAAACAAGCATCAACTGTTGTCATATGGGTACCACACAGTAGTAGGAATTAAACAATACATAATAAACCCAACACAGGGGGTGGTGTAGACTCACTCCAGGGTGAATGTCTGGAGAGCAACGCTAGAATTAGCCTTATTCTGGCTTACAAACTACCTCCACGAGATCATCACATTCTTCATATAACATTTATTATGCTCAATCTATCAAACACACTCTAACAGAGCAAAGAAATACGTGGGACATACCTGCTACTGGGCCCCGGGATGTAAACAACGCCATGGCGTCTCTCCCCCCCCCATATTCGTTCTAGCGCGGATTCACAAGACATAATTACGTTTTCCTCCTCGAAGCTTACAAAAATACATATCCATATCAATAATATTCTATATCACAAAATGGTTGTCTCTGGAGTTCCTCATACCACACACACTCCTCCATACAAATGTTTGCCGATGGCGCCAAGTTATTTCGGGAAATTAAGAACCGAGCATTTGCATTCATCTACAATGCTTTTTTCCTTTTTAACCTCCTCACTACCCTGTATTTGGAAACCACTTTTAATATTTTATTCAGCTAATGCCAGACAATTTTATTCAGCAGAGTGTGGACCCAGTGCACAAGTGGTTACTTTTACTTTTTTTTTTACTTTTTCCTCTTCGCCACTGATCGGCTTGTTAGCCGCTTGGGCGATCGGTCACGTCTCTTTTCCTTTATATTCTTCACCAAAAGGTCGGCTCGCTAGCCGCCCGGGCGATCGGTCACGTCTCTGTCACGCACTGTTGGCAAATACTGGGCATGCACCGGCTCCTGAATGTACCTGAACCCGCTCCAGTGTTGGTCAAGTCTTCTCTTGAAAGAGCTCACACTCGGTGCCGTCACAACACTTTCTGGTAGATTGTTCCAAGAGTTTACAACCCTCACTCCGAAAAAGTTTGCCTCACGGTTTTC